ATGTTGTGGCTGCACAGAGAGGTGCAGGATCTGTAGGAGAAATTCTGTCCTCTCTGCTCTCTGAGAAGGTGGGGGCGGAGATGAGAGGGGTGCAGCTGCAGGAGAGGTGCGAAGGGCCACATAAAATAGCCTGGGGGCCAGATTAAGCCTGCAGGCCTTGCATACCTCCCACATTTTTAAGATAGGACTGAGGGACACCTATTAGTAAATGTATGTAGGCACAAGATACCCCCCCTGAAGAAGAAATCTACAAAAAAAAGATTAGTGGAACCCACAAGTGCTTTTTTTTTGCCACTACAATCTGTTTATATTGGCTGTTGATTGTTATACTGTAAATTCAACCATTTAGAAACTGGATGAATGGTTTAGCACTGGGAAACAAAGTGCATTTTATATACAACTGTAAAAATCTGACCAAAGTGAGGGACAAATGAGGAGGAAAGAGGGACTTTGTTCTAAATCAGGGACAGTCCCTCGAAATCGGGGACAGTTGGGAGGTATGGCCTTGTGTTTGACACATGAGGCTTAGAGAGATGTACAAAGTAGAAGAAAAGAAAGAAATACAAAAAGTGAGAGTGGATAAGTTGGAGTGGAAAGAAGGGGAGGAGGAGAGGGAAAAAAGGAAATAGGGAGGGGTACAACAGGGGGGAATATCGCGTAATATATTTATTTTTATTAAAGGTACTTATATATCGCCATCAAGGTATGCAGTGCTTTCCATATATATATTGTACATTCACATCAGTCCCCGCCCCCGAGGAGCGTACAATCTAAGGTCCCTAACTCACATTCATACATACACATATTAGGGACAATTTAGACAGGAGCCAATTCACCTCCCAGCATGTCTTTGTCAGGGCAGGGCTGTAGCACGGACAGGTAGGCCTAGTGGCAGGGTAACGCACTGGCTGACGACAACCACCACCAACAGACTGAAGTCCCTCAGGGCGCGGAGTCTAAGTCCCAGGCTGCCCTTCACCAGGGCCCCTGATGGTGGGGATGGACTTGACACAGCCAGGAACCAGGTCGCGACCCCCCGAGACACCCCGGCTGCGGTAATGGCCGCCGCCAATGGCGTGTAGCTGGTGAGAATGACAATAGCGTAGTCAGGCAAGCCGGGTCAACAACAACGGGACAAAACGGTACAGAACAGTAGACAGAGAATCACAGGTCACGGGCCGGGTTCAGCAACGGAAGGTCAGATCGAAGGAAAACACAGAGAATGGTCTTAGTCACAAGCCGAGTCAGATACCAGAAGAGTCACGAGCGTATACACAGAGCTGTAGCAAGACAAAGACACAAGACACAAGTGCAAAGAGCATGTGCGGATCACAGGCTTATATGTACTCAGCCACACCCCTCTGGGGGATGGACCTCAGAGACCTGAAGGCATAAAAGATTCCCACCATGCTCAGCAGAAATCCAAGATGGATGCCAGCACATGGAGTAACATAACCTCTGGGAAAAGGTAGGACCTTGACAGTCTTTGGAGTGTGGGAGGAGACTAGTGGAAACCCATGCAGGCACAGGGAGAACATGCAAACTCCAGGCAGGTAGTGCTGTGGTTGGAATTTGAACCAATGACCCTATTACTGCCAGGTGGAAGTGCTAACCATTTAGCCATTGTGCTGCCTCTCAACAGCTGGACCAATAGGGGCCCATATTAAATGGCTAGATTTGGATAGCGGTATGCGATCCAGGGGTCCCAGATTTTGTGAAATTTGGTATGGTTATTAGCAAGATCAGGATTCATCATCAGGGAAGTGGGTGGATTGTTTTGTCCACACCCTGGCTATGGTCATTGTAGAAGCTACAGTAGAAGAATGAAATGAGTCATTTTGAACTGTCTTGTAGTAAGGCCAGGAGGCTCAAACTGTAGTAGTGCTACCCAGGAGTCTCTTAAAATTGGATCCCTAATAACTTACAAAAAAAAACAAAACTTTAGAGCAGAAGCAGTTCAGCATTGGGCAGATCCACCATACTGTATATGGAGGACATTGCCAGTAGCCTGATATACTCTGAAACACAGGCCCGAAGATCCAGGGAGCATATGGGCCAGATACAATCTGGTAAGTAACTTATAAGCGGACTCCAATGTAGTAACATTAATGTCTGATGTAATTCACACAGGTAAAGAAAAGTGCCAGCATTATCGCTTCCCTGGGCATCAGGAACAGCCGCCAGTAATGGTAAGGCAAGAGAGCCACCACTCATTCTACATATCTGAGCCTAGCCTGAGCCAGTGTAACTATGGTGTGACATCATTACACCTGTCGGCTCATTCTACACATCTAACCTGGGTGGCGTGATGACATCACATTGATCAGTAATCAGGACACTGGTATGGGGTATGGCAGTGATCAGGACACTGGTATGGGGATGGCATTGATCAGGACGCTGGTAGGGGGTATGAGGGTGATCAGGATGCTGGTATGGGGTATGGCTGTGATCAGGACGCTGGTATGGCGGTGATCAGGATGCTGGTAGGGGGTATGAGGGTGATCAGGATGCTGGTATGGCGGTGATCAGGATGCTGGTATGGCGGTGATCAGGATGCTGGTAGGGGGTATGGCGGTGATCAGGATGCTGGTAGGGGGTATGAGGGTGATCAGGATGCTGGTATGGCGGTGATCAGGATGCTGGTAGGGGGTATGGCGGTGATCAGGGCGCTGGTATGGGTTATGGGGGTGATCAGGACGCTGGTATGGGTTATGGGGGTGATCAGGATGCTGGTATGGGGTATGGTGGTGATCAGGATGCTGGTATGGGGTATGGTGGTGATCAGTATGCTGCCATGACATATGGGGGTGATCAGGACGCTGGTATGGGGTATGGCGGTGATCAGGATGCTGGTATGGGATATGGCGGTGATCAGGACGCTAGTATGGTGGTGATCAGGACGCTGGTATGGGGTATAGCGGTGATCAGGATGCTGGTATGGGATATGGTGGTGATCAGGATGCTTGGTATGGGGGATGGTAGGGATCAGAGTGCTGGTATGGGGTATGGCTGTGATCAGGGTGCTGGAATGGGGTATGGAGGTGATCAGGGTGTTTGTGTGGGGTATGGAGGTGATCAGGATGCTGGTATGGGGTATGGAGGTGATCAGGATGCTGGTATGGGGTATGGAGGTGATCAGGATGCTGGTATGGGGTATGGAGGTGATCAGGATGCTGGTATGGGGTATGGAGGTGATCAGGACGCTGGTATGGGGTATGGCGGTGATCAGGACACTGGTATGGGGTATGGCGGTGATCAGGACACTGGTATGGGGTATGGCTGTGATCAGGGTGCTGGAATGGGGTATGGGGGGATCAGGGCGCTGGTATGGGGTATGGCTGTGATCAGGGTGCTGGAATGGGGTATGGGGGGGATCAGGGCGCTGGTATGGGGTATGGTGGTGATCAGGACACTGGTATGGGGTATGGTGGTGATTAGGGTGCTAGCATAGGGTATGGCGGTGATCAGGATGCTGGTATTGGATATGGTGGTGATCAGAACACTTATATGGGGTATGGCTGTGACCAGGATGCTGGTATGGGGTATGGCGGTGATCAGGATGCTGGTATGGGGTATAGCGGTGATCAGGACGCTGGTATGGGGGATGGCAGGGATCAGAGTGCTGGTATGAGGTATGGCAGTGATCAGGATGCTGGTATGGGGTATGGTGGTGATCAGGGTGCTGGAATGGGGTATGGGGGTGAACAGGGTGTTTGTGTGGGGTATGGCGGTGATCAGGACGCTGGTATGGGGTATAGCGGTGATCAGGGCGCTGGTATGGGGTATGGTGGTGATCAGGACGCTGGTATGGGGTATAGCGGTGATCAGGGCGCTGGTATGGGGTATGGCGGTGATCAGGGCGCTGGTATGGGGTATGGGGGGATCAGGATGCTGGTATGGGGTATGGTGGTGATCAGGGCGCTGGTATGGGGTATGGCGGTGATCAGGACGCTGGTATGGGGTATGGTGGTGATCAGGGCGCTGGTATGGGGTATGGCGGTGATCAGGGCGCTGGTATGGGGTATGGTGGTGATCAGGGCGCTGGTATGGGGTATGGCGTGTGATCAGGGCGCCGGTATGGGTTATGGCTGTGATCAGGGTGATCATTTATTTTATTATTTTTATCAAAAGGACCTCCCTGCCTTCCTTGACCACACATCCCTTTCACTAGACTACCATGTTAGTGGCAGTGCACACACGGTGACTGGGAAGGGTGCAGCACCTCTAGACTTTGTGGGATTGCCATGTTGGGTGGAAGATATCCTCCTCCTTCTTGTCCTCACCTTGTAGGTTCTACTTTGGGGACTCACCACAAACTTTAATATAGTACATTTCTGCTTCATTTACAAGCAGAAGACCGGATACTTTTGCCTATTATTGCTGCTAAATGTGTTAATAAATAGTAGCAGCAATCAGCCTGAATGACCAAACATTGTCAACAATACTTTCCTAGGCCTTCAGCCTGGCAGGGGAAGGAAAGGGGGGGACAAGTGAACAAAGCACCCCCAAAGCAGTTTTCTTCTCCATGTTGATGAGGACGAGGGCCTCTTCTCCACAACCCTGACCTGGAAGTTGTGGGGGTGGGGGGGGACTTATTGGAATCTGAAAACCCCTTTACCAAGGGGCCCCCCAGATCCTGGCTCCCTCATGTGAATCCTATAAGCATGGGTTACATAGTACCCCCACTCATTCACCAAAAAAAATGGGCAAAGTAAATAAAAACTTCGATCAAAGGAAAGAGCCAAAGATGTCGGCTCGGTCATGTGATCAGCTATGTCCAATCACAGCTGATTGCATGTAAACAGGGAAATGCTGGTTATCGGCATTTCTCTCCTCATGAGCTGTCACGCTGACAGGAGAGGAGAGCCGGTAATCTGCATTCCTCAGAGGGGACATCTACACTGATCATCAGAGCACTGATGATCAGTGTAGCCCCAGCAGTGCCAGCTGTCAATGTCCATGAATGCCAGCTGTCAGTGCTCATCAATACCATCTGTCAGTGCCCATCAGTGCCACATCAATGCCACTTATCAGTGCCTCCTAGTGCATATCAATGCCACATATCAGTGCCCATCTGAGTTGCCTTTCAGTGCCACCTATCAGTGCTGCCAATCAGTGCCGCCTATCAGTGTGCATCAGTGCTGCCTTTAGGTGCCATATATGAGTGCTGCCTATCAGTGCCCATCAGTAATGCCTGGCAATGCCCATCAGTGCCACCTACCAGTGCCTCCTCATCAGTGCCCATCACTGAAGCCTCATTAGCGCACATCAGTGAAGGAGAAAAATCACTTATTTACAAAACTTTATAACAAAAACAAAGAAAAAATTATTTTTTAAAACAAAATTCAGTTGTTTTTGGTTTAGCAAAAAATTAAAAACCCAGTGGTGATTAAATACCACCAAAATAAATCTGTCTCAAAAAAATGATAAAAATGTCATCTGGGTACAGTGTTGTATGACCGCGCAATTGTCATTCAAAGTGTGACAGCGCTGAAAGCTGAAAATTGGCCTGGGGAGGAAGGGGGTAGAAGTGCTCGGTAGGCGAGGGGTTAAAAAAAGCAAGAAATAGGAATTCCCCAAAGTAAATCCAGCATCACTTATTGTGAACACTGGCCGCTGATCCGCCCCCCCCCAAAAAAAAACAGGCCTACACCCATCCTTGGCTGCTGCTGAATGACAGCTCTGCTGCCTACCTTCCACTAACTAAACTAAGACCACCAGGTATTATCACTAGGTGTCCCCGCCCCATTATGACATCATTGATTGGGGCATGAAAGGTTAATAATGTCACAAGAGGGCGGGGGGTATCCCAGTGACATCACCAGCTGGCTATGTACCTTAGGCGGCGGAGCTGTCATTCAGGAGGAATCAAGTGGACAGCTGTTTTTTTTTTTTTGTGCAGGTTGGGGGCCAGCAGTCAGGAATGATGCTGGAATAACGTAGGGGGACTTTTTTTGGCTTTTTAAGAACAATGGACTTGTCAAAAACTGTGTTTTTATAATTACTTGTATACTGTGGGACTGTAACGCTGTGTGAGTCTATGTGTTGCACAGGCCTGTGTTAGTGAATCGGTGGAGCGCTCTTAAGGACTGACATGTCACAGGTTAGCAGTTGCTCACCACATCCAAGAACAGTCTCTGGGGGGGTTAACTCCTTGAAGGGATGATGACTGGGGCTTTATCTCTCTGGCTAGTTTTCTCCTGTTGTCAATTGTCGGTGCTGCACAATCTCTGAGGTGCCTCACGTGGGATGGTCACACGCCTCCTCTGCAATTTCCAACACTCTGACCTCTCTCTCTGTGGTGGGAGATGTTGTTGCTGTCGGTGCCCCCTTTAGTCAGAGCTCAGCAGAGTGCCCCCTTTAGTCAGAGCTTAGCGGGGTGCCCCCTTTAGTCAGAGCTCAGCGGAGTGCCCCCTTTAGTCAGAGCTCAGCAGAGTGCCCCCTTTAGTCAGAGCTCAGCAGAGTGCCCCCTTTAGTCAGAGCTCAGCAGAGTGCCCCCTTTAGTCAGAGCTCAGCAGAGTGCCCCCTTTAGTCAGAGCTCAGCAGAGTGCCCCCTTTAGTCAGAGCTCAGCGGAGTGCCCCCTTTAGTTAGAACTCGGCTACTAACTGGACATGAAATAGTTACGTGTGAAGCTCCTGGAGAAACAACCTGCCCGGAGCTGGAAATACATGTCCCAGGCGGCGGGAGATAGGATTTGCAAATCCCTGTTTGATTTTCTATTCAATTCTAATCTATTCTATTCTTATCTATTCTATTCTATTTTTATTGATTCTATTATTTTCTATGTTTTCCTTTATTTTTCATTCTATTTTTTTCGGTTTTACTCAGTTTTTTTTTCTATTCTATTCTTTTGTTTTCTATTCTACTCTTTTTCCCCTTCTATTCTTTTCTATTCTATTCCTTTATTTTGTTTTCTATTTTACTCTATTCTTGTTTTTTCAAATTAAATTTTTTTTTTTGTAATTCAAATTTGTTTTTGCATTTGAATTGATTTGAATTTTGTTCAATTTTTTTTGTACATTATTTCGGATTCTTTTAAATTTATTACTGTTGTGATTCGGAATTCGAATGCATTTGAATCTCCGATTAATGAAAAAAAAAATGTCCGTGTAGGGAGCTACTGCCCTCTACTGTTGGCTGCCAATAATACAGCTTTATGTATAATTGAGCACCAGAAGATTTTACCTACTTCGCAGGGAATTTTTTGCTATTCAGTACTGCACTAATTTAGCTGGCAATTGCGCGGTCATGCCATACTGTACGCAAGTAAAGTTGAAATAATGTATTTTTCTCCCCGCAAATAGAGCATTCTTTCGGTGGTATTTGATCACCACTCCAGTTTTTTTTTGTATTTTTGGAAATATAAATGAAAAAAAGACAGAACATTTTCTAAATAAAAAAAATTCTGCTTTCCGTTATAAAACATATTCAATAAAATCAAATTCCGTAATAAATTTAGTCCAAAATGTATTCTGCTGCACGTCTTTGGTAAAAACAAAAACCAATAAACGTATAAAATAATAGGCTTGTCTGAAAGATTACAGAGTCTACAAACTACGAAATTTGACCAATCCTGATGTACTGACCACCAATCTAATTTCTTGTGGTCCTAAAATGCTCAGACAGTACAAACCCCCCCCCAAATGACCACTTTCCTGTGACAGTATTTAAAAACAAAAAAATAAATAAATACTGTTTTATTCAATCTTTAAAATATTTTTAAAATTTAAAATAAATGTAAAAACTTGTTTATTACATTTGTATTATTTTGTTTTACATTTTCATTAATATTATTATTATTATTATTATTATTATTATTTTGTTTTCACATATTTTCATTAAGTAAGTCAGTGTCACCATAGCAATACTGCACTACTCTGGGGGGGGGGTCAGATATTTATTTATTATTATCACATACTTTCATTAGAGTAGGTCAGTGTCACCACAGTAACACTGTACTACTCTGGGGGGGGGGGTCAGATATTTATTTATTATTATCACATACTTTCATTAGAGTAGGTCAGTGTCACCACAGCAACACTGTACTACTCTGGGGGGGGTCAGATATTTATTTATTTATTTTTAACACATATTTTCATTAGAATAGGTCAGTGTTTCCATAGCAACACTGTACTACTCTGGGGGGGATCAGATATTTATTTATTTATATCACATATTTTCATTAGAGTAGGTCAGTGTCTCCACAGTAACACTGTACTACTCTGGGGGGGTCAGATATTTATTTATTTTTATCACATACTTTCATTACAGTAGGTCAGTATTTCCATAGCAACACTGTACTACTCTGGGGGGGGGGGGGTCAGATATTTATTTATTTTTATCACATACTTTCATTACAGTAGGTCAGTGTTTCCATAGCAACACTGTACTACTCTGGGGGGGTCAGATATTTATTTATTTATATCACATACTTTCATTAGAGTAGGTCAGTGCCACCACAATAACACTGTACTACTCTGGGGGGGGGGGGGGGGGGGGGGGGGGGGGAAATCAGATTTTTTATATTTATTTATTTTTACACTTTGCTGAAGTGTTGATCATTGAAGATGGTCATTGTAACAGCAAAGTTTTCAGCTGTTATGAATGGGTTAATTATTCATGGCGGCTGTGATTACTAGTGATCTTTGATAGGCTACAGCTAATCACATGGTACAGGGGTGCTGTGATTGGCCCAGGTACCATGTGATAGCTGTGAGCCAATCGCAGCATACAGCTGTTATGAAATAAATCATTCTAACAGGTTTGTTAGAAAAAAAAAATAACTTTTTTATACAATCTTTAAAATATTTTTTTAAATTTAAAAAAAATGTTTAAAACTTTATTACATTTTTATTATTTTGTTTTACATTTTTATTGTGTTCCTGCATGACAGACCACTTCCTGTTATCTCACATATATATTCTTATTATTATAGCCAAATTTACCCCCCTAACTCCTCCCACAGTTGTTACACGACATAGACAGTAATATACGGAAACGTGTGGATTGTTCCCGATTGGTGGGCTATTACTTTGTGGAACGTTTCGCCGAATGGTTCACGAAATATCGCCGTTTTTGTTGTGGTGAAATTGGTCCCATAGGAATGAACGGCAGAATGCTCAAAACTAGAGTGGGAGCTGACAAAAGCTAGAGTGTGAGCCGAAAAATCAGGACATGATTTCTAAATGGCCATCACTCCCTCATTTTCAAGCCCACCTACACAAATCTTATATCAAAACGTTCAGCTATCATTGCTGCCACTAAAAATGTCCACAGCTAAGCCATAGCCCTGATAGTTTTCACAATATGACCATTTGTTTGCAACTCACGCCACCCATTGACATTCATTGAAACTCCACTCTAGCCACCTCAAATTTGAAGGGCAATTTCTAAACTGCGACTGTGCCTTCATTTTTAATATTTCAGAGACATACTATGCATCAAAATGTCGGTCTGGGTCTTGTGATTCTCACAATATAAAGGTCTTCACTGTAGAATTTATCATTTTTAAACTACAACCGTTTGAAGATGGCCACCGCCAGTGAAGTGAGCAAGTTGGAGCAGTTTGTTTTTAACCGCTCTTCTCTGCCCTTGCTGTAGAGTGATTTGCCATAGGAACTCAGGTGTGGGAGCCGGCAGCAGAGTGACAAAAGCTTCTCCGCCCAGTTACTCCGCCCACTCCAGTTGTAGACTACTGATGGAGGCAAGAACACTTCACACCATTTCCCCAGAAATTGGAGCTTTTCTAGTTGTTATTATTATTATTATTATTATTTTGTTTTCACATATTTTCATTAGAGTAGGTCAGTGTCACCATAGTAACACTGTACTACTCTGGGGGGGGGCAGATATTTATTTATATCACATATTTTCATTAGAGTAGGTCATTGTCACCATAGTAACACTGTACTACTTGGGGGGGGGGCAGATATTTATTTATATCACATATTTTCATTAGAGTAGGTCATTGTCACCATAGTAACACTGTACTACTCTGGGGGGGGGGGGGGGGCAGATATTTTATTTATATCACATATTTTCATTAGAGTAGGTCATTGTCACCATAGTAACACTGTACTCTGGGGGGGGGGCCAGATATTTATTTATATCACATATTTTCATTAGAGTAGGTCATTGTCACCATAGTAACACTGTACTACTCTGGGGGAGATTATATATTTATCCGGCCATCCGGACTGACCCAGTGTCGGTTGTGGTGAACAGGAACACAAGTGTACCCTGTTTGCAGACACCCCAATTTTTTTTTAGTCTTGCATGCTCACTCACTTCCACGCCCAACGTATTACGACCGCTCCGCAGATTTGGGAGGATATGCGGGTTGGACATGACTAAATCGATGGCTCTACGTGTGTCGGTTCCTGCCAGGTTGGTTGATCGCCTTAAGGATCATTCTCCCCTTCGCCTGGGGCGCTACTCCTATACCCCAACCATGGAGTCACTTTATACATTTATCTATCCACCTCTTTTTAGGGAACTGGAGGCAGAGTTCACCAATGGTCCTCACATGTTCTCTCCAGGTTGGGTAGAATGGATTCAGTTTAAACGACTTTACTCTCAAGAGTTCTTTATTTCTTTTAATTCAAAGTGATTCAAGGCCACAAGGGGCATCCATTTTCTACGAAGATTCTGGGCTTTCATATTAGGCTGGACTGGGTGTACATGGAGAGGTTGGCGACCCCTGGGACAACCTGGTGTCCCCCCCTAAGTGTAGACCTCCCATTTTGGACCTTACACTCTCGCACTCTTTTGCATTGTTGAACCCGCTCCGACATAACAGTGACCTGGTCTCCTTCTTTAACCCTCTGGTACATATCTTCAGTCATCTGCTCCCCCCCCCCCCCCCCAGGGTTTGACATTAAGGCCTTTAACCCCTTCCCTACCGGGCATTGATACCCCTTCTTTACCAGGCCAATTTTCAGCTTTCAGGACTGTCGCACTTTGATTGACAATTGCGCGGTCATGCAAAATTGTACCCATATGAAATTTTCATCATTTTTTTCTCACAAATAGAGATTTCTTTTGGTGGTATTTAATCGCTGCTGGGAACTTTACTTTTTGTGCTATAAACAAAAAAAGTGCTAAAAATTTGAATAAAAAAAAAAAAAAAAAGTTTCTTTGTTTCTATTATAAAATTTTTCAAACAGGTAAGTTTTCTCCTTCACTGATGTACGTTGATGAGGCAGCACTGATGGGCACTAATAGGTGGCACTGATGGGCACTGATAGGCAGCACTGATAGGCGGCACTGATAGGCAGCACTAATGAGGTGGCACAGATAGGCGGCACTGATAGGCAGCACTAATGAGGTGTCACAGATAGGCAGCACTGATAGGTGGTACTGATAGACAGCACTGATAGGTGTCACTCACTGGCATCATTGCTGGGCACTGACTGGTGGCACTGCTAGGCATTGACTGGCGCAACTGCTGGACACTGACTGGCACAACCTCTGGGCACTGACTGGCAGTACTGCTGGGCTGCACTGATGGGCACAGGTGGGTGGGCACAGGTGGGTGGCACTTCTTGACACAGGCAGGTGGCACTTCTGGTCACAGGTGGGTGCACTGCTGGGTGGCACAGGTGGGTGCACTGCTGGGCACAGGTGGGTGGAACTGTTGGGTGGCACTGCTGGGCACCGATCATCAGTGCCCTGATGATCGGTGCCGATCCCCGCTTTGACAACTGCCGGTTCTCGACAGTACTTTCCTCACGATCTGACAGCGTGAGGAAAGTGCAGCCGAGAACCGGCAATTGCATTTCCCGGTGATCAGCGTGTCATTGGACACGGCTGATCACGTGGTAAAAGACTGCTGTGATTGGCCTTTTACCACATCACATGATCAGCCATGTCTGCAGGACACAGCAATCACAGAGATCGCCAGGTGCACGCCCCCTGGGGCGCGCAGGAGAGCGCGTTCTGGGAGGACGTCACATGGCGCCGTCCCAGAACTGGCCGGCCGCAGTGTAGTCGCCATTCGGCTATCTGCGGTTGGCAGGTAGTTACAGTAAGTGGTGGTTGGATAAGGGGTTGTATATAATTGGGCCCTTTTTTACACACAGAGGGTCCTTTACGTTGCTTTACTGTGTTGAAACCTTTGAAATGCCCCAGTCAGAGTGGTTTTTTGCTTTTTTCAAATATCTTAGGGTCGTTTTGGCCCAGAGAAACAGGAACTCCATCAGGTTGCCTCTTATGAAAAGTGGTGCTCAGGACACAGCGAGGGGGTATATCTCTCATATGTGGGCTGTTACTGGGCACCCCCACTATATTTTCCTATATGCTAGATTGGTCAGGGGAGCTGGGGGAGCTCAGAGAACTGGATTTGTGGTGTTTCTTAACTATAATTGTGAACGTGGTTTAAATGGAAGCTGGTCTGAAGGTTCTCACCAGATGGTGAGGTATTTAGTCCCGACCATTTGGAAACTCGGGCACTGCCCGAGGGCCTGGGGTCAGTAGGGGGCCCCATGAGATGCCCCTGGTACCTTTTTCATAGGCCTGTTTGAGTTTGGGCAAGGACACAGGGGCCCCATGATCCCCTATTGCCCAGGGGCCCCATGAGTAGTCAGTCCGCCCCTGGTCCCGACACGTTTAGCTGAAATGTACCCCTCGGTTTCACCTCTCTGCTTTCAAGGGTGTGACCTGTGAAGCTCCATGTACCATATTTGGTGGGAGGTCCCCCAGACCCACAGCTTCTGGAATGGAGTCTTTGCCTTGGTGCATAGGGTCATGGGGCTATCGGTTCCTCAGGTACCCTACATCGCTCTTCCTAATGCGCCCATGAAAGGTGTTCCTCCCCACCTCCAACATTTTGATTTTTTTGATACCCTTGGGGGCAAAAATGACCATTGCTAAATCTTGGTGGTGATCCTCCGTGTCCCTGGCACAGGCAAAGAAAAAAACTAACGCAGCTTATGTTACATGAAACTATAGACAGTGATTTACAAGATAAGGTGACAAAATTTGAAAAGACGTGGGAGCCGTGGGCCAGATATAATCATGTTTCCTTTGTAACCTAATGGGTTTTTAATAACTTGGAGGGGTTGGTGTCCCCTCTGAGACTTCTCTGGACTTCCTTTCTGTTCCCCTTTTCTTCCACTTTTTTTTTATCCCTTCTTTTCTGTTTTTTTTTCATCCAAGCCTCTGGGGACTCCCAGGGTTCAATCGAATGTCTGTAGCTGGAAGTGTAGCCCCTTTGGGAAATGTATATGTTCCTACCCACCTGAGGTAGCCAGTGGACCTGAGGTTGTGCCCAAATCTAAGATTTATTTCTGGTGTACTGCTACTAGGTGTGTGGTTACCGCTGCATTTGTCAGTGGGGAGAGTTACTTCGGTCTCTCTTCTACATTCTTTGCTTATGTTTGAATTTGATGATTTTTGTATGATTGTTAGATTCCTCTTTATATATGAAAAACAATAAATACACACAGGTGTATACAATCACGCCCCTAGGCATGCAGACCGCGTCTACAAACATTGGTGAAAGAATGGGTCGCTCTCAGGAGCTCAGTGACTCCAAGCGTGGTCCCGTGATAGGTGGCCACCTGGGCAATAAGTCCATCCGTGACATTTCCTGGCTACTAAATATTTCACGCTCAACTGTTAGTGGGATTATAACAAAGTGGAAGCAACTGGGAACAACAGCCACTCAGCCACCAAGTGGTAGGCCACGTCACATGACAGGGCGGGGACAGCGCATGCTGAAGCGCACAGAAGTTGCCAACTGTCTGCAGAGTCAATAGCTAAAGACTAGAGATGAGCGAATCGAACTTGGCGAAGTGGAATTCGTTTCGAATATTAGGAAAAATTCGATTCGCACCGAATCCGAATTTTAGCAAACTTCGGGTGCACAAATCGAATTTTCCCCGATCAGCCGGCAAAAAGTGTCACTGCAGAGAGCTCCGCTATTTCTGACAGTTCTCTGACAGTTCTGACAGTTCATTTACAGCGGTTGAAACATTGTATCTATTTGTTTCCATTTAGGATACAGATGTTTTTATTCGGAAATAAACAGATACAATGTTTCAACCGCTGTAAATGTGAAGGAACTGTCAGAGAACTGTCAGAAATAGCGGAGCTCTCTGCAGATACACTTTTTGCTGTACTGGAATACTTCTTCTTTTCATTCTTCTTCTTCTTCTTTTCATTCTTCTTCTTCTTCTTCTTCTTCTTTTCATTCTTCTTTTCATTCTTCTTTTCATTCTTCTTCTTCTTCTTTTCATTCTTCTTTTCATTCTTCTTTTCATTCTTCTCATTCTTCTTCTTCTTCTTTTCATTCTTCTTCTCATTCTTCTTTTCATTCTTCTTTTCATTCTTCTTCTCATTCTTCTTTTCATTCTTCTTTTCATTCTTCTTTTCATTCTTCTTTTCATTCTTCTTCTCATTCTTCTTTTCATTCTTCTTCTTCTTCTTTTCATTCTTCTTCTTCTTCTTTTCATTCTTCTTTTCATTCTTCTTCTTCTTCTTTTCATTCTTCTTCTTCTTCTTTTCATTCTTCTTCTTCTTTTCATTCTTCTTCTTCTTCTTTTCATTCTTCTTTTCATTCTTCTTCTTCTTCTTTTCATTCTTCTTCTTCTCTTCTTTTCATTCTTCTTTTCATTCTTCTTCTTCTTCTTTTCATTCTTCTTCTTCTTCTTCGTCGTGCCCCGTGACTGCCCAAATGAGTGAAGTGTGCGGTGATTCTAAGATCGACGGCACTCATCTGCATGTCATACTGACTGACAGTATTATTTCTCTTCCCCAGCAGACTCCAAGGGCATTTAAATTAAAGGTACAGTGTTCTGCACTAATATAAAGGCTCTCTGAAGCCTAGAAACCCTTTTAATAAGTTAAATTCGCAGCGAATAAATTCGCATCGACTCGAATTTCTCCCGCAAATTCGGCGAATCAGCCGAATCAAATTTTTGAATAATTCGCTCATCTCTACTAAAGACCTCCAAACTTGGTGTGGCCTTCAGATGAGCCCAACAACAGTGCGTAGAGAGCTTCATGGAATGGGTTTCCATGGCTGAGCAGCTGCATCCAAGCCTTCCATCACCAAGTGCAATGCAAAGCGTCGGATGCCGTGGTGTAGAGCAGTAGAGACGTGTTCTCTGGAGTGACCAATCACAATCAAGAGGGGCTGGCCTGCAGAGCCCCTCAGCTTCTAACTTTTGGGCTATCACACCCAGGCTGCTACTCAGTCCTCCCGGTCTTACACTAGCTCCTCCTAGATAAACTAGGAGGCACTAATATATATATATATATATATATATAATGAGATTGTAGCCCTCCACCTGAACCATCCTATGCCACATGCCCTCATCAAGGGAAGGTACCTTGCCAGGGGGCACTTTGTCCCCATGATGATGTGGAGAAGGGTCTCTTCTGCACAACCATGGCCTGGTGATTGTGGGGATCATGTGTACTCTCCAGTGCTTCAGGAAATGGATAGCCAAAGGGCAGCCAAGGGGACCAGGACAGAGAGATATCCCAAAGAAGATGCTTCAGGGGTGCAGCCCTCCTCAGACGGGGAGATCAACCACTAGATAAAGAGTAAACAGGTGGCGCACATACAGACGAAGCATGAATAAAAAGCTTTTGCATAATGGAGATGGCCAAAACGACAGGCAAGGTGTTCCAACTGTCAGTGCGGTTAAAATGCTGATGCGTTTCGGGGACGGGTCCCTTTCCTCAGAGCAGCTTACCAACCCCTCGGACTGGTTCAGATGTGATGTGAGTGAGGTAGACCGATGGTAGAAACAATACAGTGGTGCTGCTGATACCTGCATCCCCGAAATGCATCAGCCTTTTGACCGCACTGACAGTTGGAACACCTTGCCTGCCATTGTGGCCATCTCCGTTAGGCAAAAGCTTTTTATACATGCTTCGTCTGTGTGTGCGCCACCTGTTTACTCTTTATCTGGTGATTGTGGGGGTCTCCAGGCAAGGAGCTTGTTGGAATCTGGAAGTACCCTCAAAAAAAGGAGGGCCCCCAGATACCGCTCCCGCATGTGAATGAGTAAATAGTGAAGAGTCACAAAAAAAATATAACCTAGAAATGAACGCACCAAAATGTTTGACAAGTCCTTGTCAAGAAAGAAAATCCCAAAGAAGGTCACTTGTCTGTCCATTGTCAATCACAATGCCCTCCACCCTCTGACTTAATAACCTGACTGCATACTTGACTGATGCTGGTGGTACTGGATAGTGGTACTGGATGGTACTGGATGGTGGTACTGGATAGTGGTACTGGATGGTGGATGGTGGTACTGGATGGTACTGGATAGTGGTACTGGATGGTGGATGGTGGTACTGGATGGTGGATGGTGGTACTGGATGGTGGTATGGGATGGTGGATAGTGGTACTGGATGGTGGATGGTGGTACTGGATGGTGGTACTGGATGGTGGATGGTGGTACTGGATGATGGATGGTACTGGATGGTAATGGATGGTGGTAATGGATGGTGGCACTGGATGGTGGTACTGGATGGTACTGGATGGTGGTACTAGATGGTGGATGGTGGTACTGGATGGTGGTACTGGATGGTGGTACTAGATGGTGGATGGTGGTACTGGATGGTGGTACTGGATGGTACTGGATGGTGG